CATTTATTTAATTTATGTTAAGGAGAATAGAAAAGTAACAGATAAGACATTAGAAACAATACTCAATCTAAAGAAAAAGAAGATGATAGGTATTCAACAGTGGTTGTTATGTTGTACATTTCTACAATGTACAGTAGTACGACTACTCCAGTGTAGTTGTTCTGATTACAGACAGATTCATGTAAAATTGATCCAAGAATTTTAAGCATTAATTGATCCATTAAAAAACAATATAAATTAGTAGTACAATCATCTTAGCCATATTGTGTGTATACATACATGATTTTTCCCCTTCCTTTGTTTCCTGTCTTTTCTCCTTTCACTCATCCCAATTATTTATTCCTTATGTTCAGTTTCTTTCTTAGGACTGTATATTTATTTATTTATTTATTCATTTTAATGAAAAAAAAGCAATGAAAAAGTTTCAAAACAGATTAGAAAAAAGTAATAAGAAAAAAGAAGAGACAAAAAAAAGTCATAGGATTATCCTGCTACAAAGTTCTTATATATAAAATATATACTTTTAGAAAGCTTTAACAAAAAAGAAAGAATGCCATACATGCACTCTGATAGATCCTAAATTTTTATCTTCCTTCTTCCCAGAACAACACATTTTGTGTTTATCATGCTTTACAATAAAGCAAAATCTAGCAAAGGCTATTGCCTTTTTTATTCAAAACCTAAAAGCCAAAGCAGTATACTTACTGGCACCTGTAGCTCTTGTGCTTTCTTCTTTTTCATCAACAATTTCCTATCCTTCGAGAGCATTCTTGCTTTGATCCATAATGATCCTACCTCAGAGGATCTCGAGCAACCTGTAACGGAAATGGCTTTACTTCAAAAAGTTTAAGGCAGTGAGATTTACCCAAACAGTCAAGAGAAGAGAAAGAGTGATTAACAGTGCAGTCCCGAATCAAAGGATATTTTTTAATTGCAGTAAAACAAAGGATGTAAAACTGGTTTTTAAAATGTGTACGCCTTACCTTTAATCTTATCAAACTTTGTAAGTTTCTCCTTCTTGTGGAATCTAAAACTATGACTCCTGGTGAAGGGTCTGTCTCTGTGGAGAGGGTTGATCCAGAAGGATCTGCTTGGCTGGAGCCATGGCTGCCCCACCTCTGACCAGTCACTACTTTGGGACAAGCTTGTTGAGTTCTCAGACAGGCTGCCTTGGATGTCTGTGGGACACCGCCCACTCTCAGTGCAGTCACTGCTACAAGAGGAAGGCAGGTCGCTCTGCCACTTGTTTTTGAAGCTAAACACACCAGTTTCATCACCTTCAGAAAATGCCAAGTTCACATATCCATCTCCTGACTGCATGCTCCTTGCCTGGGAAGAAAGGGGAGCCATTTCTGTGGGTGCTGGGGTGCATGCCAGAGTGGACTGATCCTGCTCCACTTTGCCTTCCTTGCCTGGCGTCTCAGTGACTGGCTCCTGCTCCTTTTGGAGCTCAGCCCCTGATGCCTGGTCTGGCACGGTTGGGGTCTCCCTGGTCAGATGAACAGAGGCCCTGCTCTGCAGGATCCGTGCACCTGCTAGGACATCTGCATCTGTGTCCACAGATGGCTTGAACAGAGGTAAGGCAGTTTCTTCAGAAGAAGGAACTCGTTTTAGATCAGAAGGAACCAGGAGAAATTGGCCATACTTTGAATTTGCATGACTATTAGGGGACACCCCAGAAGCAACTGTACTCTTTGTTTTTTCTTGCTGCTCCAAGTCATCTCTTGCACTGGAGGCTTCTTTCTGACTGTCCGTAATCTCAAGACAGCCTCCTCTCTGCACTCTTGAGGGAAACTGGCTTCTAGCCAGGCTCCGTAGCAAAGAAGGGGGCATGCTATAATATCGGTATTTTGTCTCTCCAGCAATCTCTGTGTTGCCCAAGATTCCTGTACAAATGACATTGTTCCAGCTGTGGGGGATTTTTCTGCCAGCAGAATGCTTCCGGTTGGCCAGCAGAGCCTCATCTTCTTGCAAGGTGTCAACTGCAGAAAGAACCTTAAGAGTATCCACAGTCAAGGCAGAGAGGTCCTGCAGGTGTCCCACCTGGCTATCCAAAGACAGTAGGGAATCCTTTATAAAGGACACCTTTTCGTTCATTTCTTTCAGTTGGAAATACATTTCCGCAACCCTAATGGTGAAGGTGGAGAGAAAACCAATAACACATTAAGCTGCTGCCAGGGTCAGGCGATTGCTAAGCCTCAGCTGCTTCCCACAGTCTGTCTCCCACCCTCCGCTGCACTCCGCTACATATCCTCTTCCACATGGCTGTACCTCCTCCTGCATTCCCACTGGGCCTCCAGCGAGGGGAAACTACAAATGTGCATCACTACCCCTTACTTCTTTCTAAGATTTCAAAACTACATATGCAGCTGCCTGCTACTAATCCCCCTTCAATTATTTGTTCAATCATCCCATTTTATTCACTACCATGCTCATTCATTTACATGACAAAAACCTGAGCACCTCCTATTAGCAAATATTGTACAATTTTGATGGGAAAAAAATATCCTGAGAAAGAAGCCAAATTGATGGGAGTAACAACAAAAAGAAACCCAAACCTATCATAGTTCAAACAGGGCTCTCAAGATCCAAACAAAATCTGCACTAGAAACATACTCAGAAAAAAATGCTAGTTTTTTAAAGTTATTTTAACTATTTTAACCCATGATTATGATGCCCAAACATTGATTCACACAGAAGCAATATAACATGTCTTCATTTATGTAAGTACACAAGTAAACTGCATATACCTCAGAGTAACTGTAACAATTTCAATCAGACAGTGAAGAAAGAACATGCTGGTTAACATCTACCTGTAAATACCACTTGGAAGATGAGCTTTGCTTGGTGCCCCTATCCCACCCCATCACAACAATGAAATGTTGAAGTATGAACCCCACAAATGACCTTTATTTGGAAATAGGACCATTTTTCATTTTTACTTTCACTAGTACATTTTTGCAGTATAGAATTATTGTCCTCATAGGGATCTGGCACGGGTATGAAACACATCTTAATTATCTTTACAACCCCTTCCCTCTATTCCCCCTTCTCAGCATCTCTTGGCGCCAGGTATGGACTGTGTCTGGATGTCCCCCCAAAGCTTCATGCCAGCCGCAGGGGTGGGGAAGGAGGGTTTGCAGAGGGGGATGAATCTGGAGTTTGTGATTGATTCAGAGTATGAGTGCTACACCCACCCTAGTGTGAGTAGCCTATAGACAATATGGGACAGAAAGACTTGCTCTGATTTCTTTTTTCCTTTCTCTTTCTTTTTCTTTTTTCATTTATGTATGTATGTATTTGGTACAGGGTCTCATTACACAGCTTAGCCTCACAGTGATCCACAGTGATCACAGCTTGGACTCACACAGTTGCTGCTAGTAGGTTTTCTCAGTATGCCCGTAATCAGATTACCTTTGTGTCATTAACAATACTGCAATCCATTTCCAGAGAAATTGGTGCTGGGCCCATTATACTGCATCCTTCCCTCCCAAATTAATGCCAGTGATCAGATCTCGGGACAGACGCAAAATGCTACAGTAGCCCCGCCCAGAGCATATCACTGAAGAGCAAACCTAGCTAAACAGCTCTACACTAGCAACAAAGACCTTCCATGGTAAGCACCCACAAAGCTCAGCACAAAGCAAAGCAAAACAAATGGAAACATGACACAACAAGGCAACAAAATGCCTTCCAAGGTGGGCATGGTGGAGCACACCCACAATCCCGGCATTAGGAGGCTGAGGCAGGAGGATCACTAGCAAGTTTGAAGCTAACCTGAGCTATCTACGTGAATTGAAGGCCAACCCGCACTACATAGTGAGATCCTATCTTAAAACAGAAATGCAAACACACACACACACATACACACACACAAAAAACAAAAAACACCTCCCAAAACTTCAGATTCCCCCAAAGCCAATCCATTGGCCACTAAAGGGGAGAAGAGAAAAAGGAACAGCTAAATTATAGGGAAAAATAACAGAAGAGATTTTTTAAAGTCAGTAAGATACTTGGCAGGAGTATAATTAAATAGGTGATATAATTAAACAGATAACAAATATAACAAAAAAAAAAAACATTAGGGAGCTCCTAGAAGACACTAATAAAGTGGTAGCTAAGGGCCAGCCAAATAGCTCAGCTGATTAAAGTGTCTGCTTAGGCAGAGAGCAGGGTTCAATCCCCACCATGCTGTACTGGTCCCACTCCCAGGGCAAGCTGAGATGGTGATTGAGACTGGGCATGGTGGCACATGCCTATAATCCCAGCTGTTAGAAGGCTGAACACAGGCGGATCACTACAAGTTTGATCTATGTAGTGAGACCCTGTAGACCCTTACTAAAATAAAATTTAAAAAAAAACTATACTGAAAGTATGGGCAGAAGAAGCAGCCAGTGTCAGGCCTGGCCAGATAGCTCAGTGGACTAAAGCGCCTGCTTAGGCAGAGCACAGTTGCCAGGGTCTATATCTGGCCTGCTGTGCCAGCCCCATCCCTGAGGCACACTGAGATGGTGTTTGAGACTGGGCGTGGTGACACGAGCCTATAAATCCAGCTCTTGAGAGGCTGAAAACAGGAGGATCACTATAAGTCCAATCTGTGTAGTGAGACCCTATAGACCCTGTAGACTCTGTCCTAAACACATTTAAAAAAAAAAAAAAAGCAGCCAATATGAAAATAGGAATGTCAAAGATCAGCCTGCTGTCAGAAAGCAGTTATTCCGAGAATCCCTAAAAACAACAAGGAATATAAAAAATCAATACAACAGCTGCTAGATGGAGACTAATCCAAGATTAGCTGAAAATCCAAGATTAACTGAAAAAAGTGAAAAATTAGAAGATGGCAAAAACAGCATTGGAAAATCTGTTGACAGAAATAAAAGCAGACAACTTTCCAAACGTAGGGCAAGAATTAAACATACAGCTCAGTGAGGCCTACAGAGACCCAGAGAGCCACAATGTCAGGAGAACCTCCCACAGACACATCATGCCCAAACACCCTTCAAGTCCAGCATGGGGACAGACGCTTAAAGGCTGTTCGCACCAAGTAACCCATCACACAGAGAGATAAGTTCATTAAAATTGCAGCACCTTTCTCAACAGAAGCCTTGGTGCTTAGGAGAGCTTGGAGTGCAGTGTTGCTAGCATTAAAGGCAAACAACTTCCAACCCGGACTTACATATTCTGCAAAACCATCTATCAAACAGGTGGACAGATAAGGTCTTTCCGTTACCAAGAGAACCTCAAGAAATTTATGACCACCAAACCAACATTGTGAAAACTTCTCAAGCCTATTGTAGACAGAGACAATGAAGCCAACAAGGCCAGTAAGTCAAACGGAACAAAGACACTGGGCAGCATAAGCAGATAAGGAGAAAGGAAGGAGGAGGAGTCAGCACCCGGAGGATAATACAAGAACAGGAATAGGTCAATACCTTCAGTAAGAACACTGCGCTGTAGCAAGCACATCCCAAAACAGGCCCAAGCTCAACTTCCTACCTCTAGGACACATCTCAAGGCATGGGATTTGAAAGACTTTCTACTTCTTTCTGAAAACTTTGAAGGAAGAAAGCAGGGAATATTTTCCATTTTTATTACAGGCTATACAGACAGAACCCTCTCTTTCTTGTTTTAGCTATAGAATTCAACTTCTGTAACTCAATAGTAGCTGAATAAATGCTTCCTGACCTTCTGCAAAGTTAGAATAGACAGGGAAGCTGGCAGAAGAGTACAGAACATATATGTGTATTCCCTTCCGAACACGTTTAATTGGAGCCTTTCCATCCACCGTGCTGTTTCATCTAATTCAAAGACAGCACAGTCTGCACTGCAGTAATGGAAACTCATTAAGCCCCATTAGCTGAAGTCCCATCCATAGATACAATAGAAACCGGCACAGATTCACAGCAACAGGCAGCACACTACAATAGAGACCCACGAGATAAACAACCTGGTCACCTCACGTCGGGTCCACTTGCTTTTACACGCATTTATTTTCTAAAGCACAATATCCTGTGAAGCATTTTTTAATTATATTCCTAGACCACCAGCTACATTAACTTAATCCAAGCTGTCAGTTACTCTAGCACATAAATAAATTCTTAGCAATTTAGTTTCCTCTGTGTAAAATCTCAAGCATGCAGGAAAAATGAGCCTGGTAACTGTTTCATTGTGGGCTTTGGACAAGATACTTTATGATGAGATAGCGGCAAGTAACATAATAATCCTCATGATGAGCGTAATATCCACAGAGGGCTCGCTACATGCACAGTCCTCTGAGAGCTCAGCCCGTCCTACTTTATTTAGCCTACACCACAGCTCTGTAAGGTAGACATGACTATGTTCTATTTATTGTCCCTTGAACAGAATAGAGGTTGGCCACAGGGACTCAGAGCCAGGCATCAAGTCTACTGTCAGTGGCCTCCAGCCTATCTACCGCTCTTGGCAGCTCACTTGGAATCTGGCCACAGTTCTTCAGGAGTCCCAGGTCCCCATGAAATACAAACAAGACACACTAAGACATCTTGTACTGAGAGCTGTTCCTCACTATGGATTTGGAGTCAAATAATGATGGACCTGTCCAAGTCACAGCTCTCAACACTTGAGTCCCAGTGCAAATTAGGTGACATTTTGAAACATTTTAGAAACCACAGCATTTCCCAAACATGCTATATATAGATATTTTTTTCTAATTCCTGAACACATCTTACTCCATAAAACACAGAGACAAGAAAGTTGGTTGCACAACTGAAGTCAAAACAGAAACTACATGAACCAAATTAAACCTTTCCTCCTAAAATAAAATAAACAGCGAGTATCCCAAATAAGGGACTCGCCACTGCAGCCTTAAGGCTCTTTCTTTTTGCACTCTCAGGACTCATCTAACTCTAGACAGCTGTAAGTGGTGCCTGCTGCAGAAGCAGGCAGGAATACAAGTGCCTTCCTAACCCCCTTCACCCCTGTCCAGCCTACTGCTCAGCTACGTCAGAAAATGTTCCCTCCTTTCTTCCGTACCTCAGTAGGTGCTCCCAGCCATAACCTCTCCATAGGTGACTAAAACCGGTGGCACAGAAACAACTCTACCAAAAGGAGAAATGCAGGCTCTTTTGAAGTTAAATTAGACCATCATAGCTACATTCAGAACCCACTGGAAGTATCCTTGGAAGCCATACACCCACCTAACTTCCAATCTCTCCTCAAAGTTCAAAGAATGCAAGAGAAATACAATGGCATGGCATGATTAATGTCCTCAGTATTTTAAAATTCTCATCATGAAGTTACTTGTCTGTAAATGCCTATTTCTCATGAGTTCACTCTGCATTGCCTTGGTGTATGATACACCTTCTCCTAGTTCTCCTTATACCATACTTCTGCGATCAAATCTCTTGAGTCCTTCCCAAGAGCTCCTCCTGCCCTGCCCACTTCACAGGTATTGGTGCCACTAGGGTTGGAGCCTCTGTCCACTGAGTTTCTTCATTCTACTTGATTACTCTGTGATACTGTCTTAGTTGCTTTTTCTCATGGCTGAGACAAAATACCCAACACCCAAAGTTAAGAAAGGAAAGGTTTCTTTAGCTCACAGTTTGTAGAGATTTCAGTCCATAATTGGCTGGCCATAAGGCAGGGTAGTACAGCAGAGGGCAGAAGACAGCCAAAGAAACAAGACAGGAGCAAGGAGGAGCAAGCCTCTTTCCATCCCTTATACTGTACTCAGGCTATCCACCCAAAGGCGGGCATAGCACTCACACCAATCCCAGTGCTAGACAATGAACCGATCACAATCTAGATCCAGCTGCCTCTGAAAAGACTGTCCCCCGTGACCGCATGGAGCTTTGAGGGACATCCAAACACAAATCAGGGCCAGTGAGACAGCTGAGCGGTCTAAAG